GCCAGTCATAGATTGCCTTAGTGTCTAAAATGTTACTTTTAGGGAATTTCCCATATAGGGAATAAGCTATTACTAGTACGTCTCATGGTAAGACCTGGACCAGGGACCGATTTTCTTTTTCGTTTTGAGATCCCCAGGAGGTCAAAAACATCATCCGTTCAAATTCATTAATATATATATATATACTAGCTGACCCGGCGAACTTCGTATCGCCTAAGTTATAGGTTTCCCCTAAGACAGACCGATGGAAAGAAAGTACCGTTACGTTTAATTTTCAAGATGATCTCGTTCGCATCGCTCAATCACGTCCTGGTTGAAGTTCGTTCGCTACGCTCACTCACCTTTGGGTTGGAGCTCGTTCGCTACGCTCACTCACCTTTAGGTTGGAGCTCGTTCGCTGCGCTCACTTGCCTTCAGGTTAGCTCGTTCGCTACGCTAACTCGCCTCCAGGTTGAAGTTCGTTCGCTACGCTCACTCACCTTTGGGTTGGAGCTCGTTCGCTACGCTCACTCACCTTTAGGTTGGAGCTCGTTCGCTGCGCTCACTTGCCTTCAGGTTAGCTCGTTCGCTACGCTAACTCGCCTCCAGGTTGAAGTTCGTTCGCTACGCTCACTCACCTTTGGGTTGCAAATTAGCTGTTGTCATAAATGTAAAAGAAATAATAGTGCTGCACCCTGTTGGTAATCCTTGTAACTTTAATGCTGTTGAACATCATAGAACAGAACCAACTTGTTTAATTGAAACAGCTGTTAAGATTCATTAATTCCATTTCTCATAATGTTAACATGGGAAACTCCAGAGCCACTGGGGCGGAGCCCTTTTCAGAATTTCGAAACGGGAAATAGTTTACGTCCGATTCGCATACCTACAGAATTTACACACCAAATTTCATAACGATCGGTGAAGTCGTTCCGGAGGAGTTTGCAGACAAACACTGTGACACGAGAATTTTATATATTAGATATATGTCCGTTAGCACGATAACTCGAGCAAAAATGATCCAATTTTGATGAAATTCTGTATAAACGTGTAAACCTGCATTTATTCAAACGAGTTCGCGAACCAGCATGATCTGACCATGGGAACGGGGGTTTATGGGGGGTTTCATGGGGTAAAAATGGGTAAAAACAAAAAATTTTGCAATTTTTCATAAACCATTTTGTAGAGTTAAAAAAAAGAAATAATTTAGTACATTGAAGCGCTGTTGTACAGGGCATAAAATAACATGTTAACTGGGCGACACAAGTGTCACCCAGCGCTGAGATTTTGTCGCCCAGTGACTATGGGTGGTGCCGGCATATTTTTGTTATGATTCACATTTTAAATGTGACGGAATTTAAAAAATAACATTATGTAAATATTTTAGAGTATTGAGCTATGATTTTGGCCCAAGAGGTTGTGAAGGGAGCTTTGGCTTGTTACAATGTTCTAGAATACGTAATTAAGTGAGATTATATTGACTATTTACAAGCAAATATAATCGAAAAATTCATTAAAAGATACGTAGAAATGTGTGATTTTCACTTTAACTTTTGCAAAAATTTCCAGACCCCCCGGTAAGTCCGGCGACACTGTCGCCCAGTGAAAATCCCTTAAAATATGCTCTGCTGTTGTATCCCGGTCAAGGAGAAAATTCTAAAAAAGTGTAATTTAAAGTTTAAAGTTCCTATGTTATTCTTCTGAAGAAAATGAAAACTGTTGTATCTAACTTGTTTATAAAATATATGTCGATAGAATTTGGTAAATATATTTATTTCATCCTATATTATTGATATATGGTCAAAAAACACTTTTCACCTTCCCCGTGGCAGCAAACCTAAGTACTAGTTAAATCTAACGTTATTTGAATTGGGAATAAAAATGTCTTATGGAAATATTTGAGCATAAATGTAATCAGACAAATTGAAAGTTCGCTTAGTGTGCAGGTTTGCTGCGGCGAGAGTATTATTGTCCTATTATTTAATTCTGAGATACTTGAGGGGGCTTACATACAGATGCTACATCATACAATAAGTCCTTCTATGACTTGGTTGAAAACTTCACATATTTGTCAGAAATCAGTTACATTAACAACTGACAAGATTAACAATAAAATGTCAGATTTCATTTTAATAAAATGCTACAAATTTTCAATATTAACCATTTTCTATTTAAGCGTTGTGTGATATAAAGTTAAACAAGGTTCACTAGATTTTTTTAAAATCAAATTGAATAAAACCTTTGACTATTAAAACTCTATCAAGCAGAAGCACATGATTAATGCATTATCAGGGTAAAGTGTGGGTGACCCAATGTTATCTCATATGAGTGAGTCATTTGCTTGGCCGATTTACATTAATGTGATTCATAAGTTGTAGCCCAGCTTGAGTAAAAAGTGATAATTTGTGGTTTAAAATACTGCAGTTGATCTAAGGTGCAAGTTTATCTATCATTCTATTTTTCCTGTTTTCTAAAGATCTAGAATGTGTCTTATGCGAGATGCGTGAGACATTAGGTGGTGATATTTTACACCAATAAAATAAATTGCAATAAAAGTCCAAATAAAAATAATCAGCTGTTTTGAAGGTGTAAAATTAAAAAAATGTATTGTTGTAAATAGTTAATTAAAAATCACAACTAACTGTGTTTCTATCCTGTTAATGCTGTGTTTTTTGTTGTATGCTTTTGCGTCTCTTGTATTGTTTACAAGGAGTGTAAGGAATGTTCAAAAATTTACTTAAAAATAAGGAACATTCAATAACTTGAAAACACATCAAATCAGGTTATGGATGTAACAATTGGATCAAATCGTTTTGAATTTTTGTAAACATATATCACTCTCTCTTAATAATATAATTTGACTAAATCTCATCTCATTTAGGTTAAGCTCCCTGTCTATTTTACATCAAGTTATGTGGTCGTTATAACAACTAAAGGTTAGTCACAGCACTGTGCATTTGATCCCTTATCAATTTGTTATCAAGGAAACCTTATCAGCCTCAGTTCTCTTATCAAGTCATTGTTAGCTGCTTGCACAAGAAGACATCAGTTTATATTGTTGGAATTTATCATTCAGTTAATTGATCAATTAAAGGCCTGATGCATTTTTGTTTAAACAAACTTTAAATGTTTGAAAATACAAAATGAATTACATCAAAGAATATAGATACCTAAAGGTATCTATATTCTATGGACACTAAATCACAGGGTGGGGGCCGCTGGCTGGAGTAATTACGCCTATTGGTGTAGATATGCCCTGAATCCGGGCCTGAGGAGTGTAGGTGTCCTGGCTACTGGTCGTAAATTCAGGGGCCATATTTATATAATCTAACCTAACCTAACCTAACCAAACTTCTATATGCGGATTAGGGCCAGAGGTGGCCAGTTCTCCGTTTCCCGGGCCTGAGTATATAGGTCGTATCAAAATAAATTATCGAAATCACGTAAAAAAATGCAAGAACATTTGAAAACATTGCATTCATAAAAAATATTTAATCTGAAATCTTCAAAGCTTTTGTGAAAAGCTGTAACACATCTTATTCAATTTGTTCAGACATATTTGTAGATTATTAGTACTCAGATTCATCCCAAATCCCAACTGACAAAACAATTATGTGTTTTGGACCAATCACAAATTTTCAAATGTACAGCTTTGGAGTAAAATTTGATTTTCTAGTACATTCATCTAAAATATCTCCGACATTTTAGATATGGTGTTAAGACAGGCCACCATTGTTTAAAATGAAGTGATTGTTTAGGAGTTAGACACGTTCCTTGTTGCCATTGACTTAAGTTACCAACAAACATTATAGCTTAGTATCACAGGGACCAGGCAACTGGATGGAATTTATAGTTCAGTTTTTAACCTCCTTATGGTCTTATATTCCTTTGCAATTATCAATGGTGAGTTTCATTTAGTTAAATAGTTCAATTCCAAGTGTGGAGTAAACATTTTTCTAACAATCTAAGTTTAAATAGAAATATATTCAAAGATATTATTCAGACATTAAACATGATTATTATTTGTATTTTATATCAGTTCCAATGAAAGATCTTTCAACTGTGTATGTTTGTAATATTAGAAAGTGAGTCATTACATATTTGAGACCATATGTTTAAAACGCGATATTTATTGAGCACTTTAATATGGCCAAGAATGTATTCACTTCCACTCATTCACTTGTGTTTTGAACGTTACTTTTTGCTACTTTACAAATACTGAAAAAAAATTAAAAACAGACATTTGGAATATTTCTTTATTACAGTTAGGAACATATCAAATCTAGCAGACACGAGACAAAGAAATTGTCTAGCTAAACAATTTGTAGATATACCGGTACATTAAATTTACCTATCTACAATTTTGATGAACAATTGATTTATCTTTCCATAAGGTAGTTGCATACCACATAATTGCTGTTTTCAAGTGGAGATTAACAAACCATCAGTGACTTCACAGAGTTTTCCTCCGGGTGCATTTGTTTTTATAGAAAAGTATGTGATATCGCATGCCGGCAGCTTTAGTAGTAGCCCTAACAGTAACTTACATGCACTTTTCTTGTAACCGATTAAACATTATTTTAATCTTACACCTCCCCCGCACAACACCCATCAATCAGTTGAAGCCCGGAGAGTCGCGTAGCATGAAGCCTGGCTCTGTGAGTCACCGATAGTGTTTTTGTTTTTGTTTGCCATATAAAAAAATGTGTAACGTAAGAGTTCTTATTAATTTTGTGTATAATTTGATTCACTATACATGATTGTAATATGTTTTTTTATTAATATATACAGAAAAACATTGTTTAATGTTTCAACACCTGGAAAAGACTCAGTGAGTCACCGATCAGTGTTTTTAAATTAAATTAAATGAAAATCCTTCTTTATTGAGGCGAACTTAGGACCTCACGGTCCTTTCTCACAGTTAACCAGTTAACCTCTAAAATCAAAGACATTGATGAAAGAAGGATTAAGCATTTTTCTGCAACAATGTTCAATCCATTAATTTTAATAATCTTTTTCAGGCAGGAAAAGAGATACGTGAGGTGGAGGAAAATGGCAAATCCAAATCAATATTTTACGCTTATTTGGATCTGAGTGAGAATATCTATGAAGATGTTCATCAAACTTCCAAGGCTAGTCCTCTGCAACCTCTGCGCACACTGTGGCGAGAAACTGACAATGTGATCAAGAGTGGCATTCTGGGTAATTAGTTTTTTAATTTAGGAGAAACTAAACGAAATACGGTATAATTTCTTGACTTTAGTGTGAATAAGTCAAATTTACAGTGATACCTGTGCAGATTCAATGATAAGTTAGGAAATAGAGCGGTTAAATTATTCTATTAGTTTTGCTAAAGACGGTGACACACTATCTTTTTCCCAATCAAGACCCCGAACCGAGCAGGGAGAAGGGAAGTCGAAGGGAGCATGTTCGATAGTGTGTGAGTGGTCCGTACACCGATCTAGACAGGGAACCAGACATCAGGCCGAGCAGGGAGACAAGTGCTCTGGAGGCGTTTTTTTGGCGAAAGATCAAAGAAAAGATCGGACCGATGTACGATAGTGTGTAACGGGATATTTTTGTCCCTTATATTATGGGCATTTATGTTGTAATTTTGTGTGGTTTGTTTGGTCAAGGTTGAAAATGTTTTTTTACAAGTTGAAACCGTGAAACCAATGATATCAATCATGTTCAATCATTACTTGAATTTAGTAATTGATGGTATACTTAAATTCTATCAAAATTAATATAAACATTAATATTAATAAAGGCAATTAAAATGATCATTCTGCAACATGATATTGCATGTTTTATTACTGTTTTTATTATTACCGCCTCCGCGCTCTCACTCACACATGCTCTTCATCTCTCTCTCTAAAATCCCTTTTGCCGCGCTCAGTAGAACTGGTCTTTGTCTTGTTCGGGGAAATGTTCGGATTGAAATTTTGCTGATATTTACTTCCCTTCTCCCTTCTCCCTGCTCGGTTCAGGGTCTTGATCGAGGAAAAGATCGATAGTGTTAATTAAATTTAACTAGGGGACCATAGCAACAACTGCTGCCCTTCACCTCCGTTGTAATTTGTTCTTAACCATCCCTGTGCTGTTCACCATTCCTAAATACTCTCCTTCGTAGTCGCGGTCTTCCCCTAACACGATACATTTCAACACTGTATTAGCATTCCAACCTAAGAACAGAACACTAAAATCAATAAACAAACAAATATGCAATGTTTACATCAGCTGGTATATTTAAAACAGCTTATAGAAACACTGTAGCATCCAGTACTTCCATTAGAAAACGACTGGAACTTTAATGGCCCGTGGGGCAGAGCAGGGGTAATTTTTGACACTGATATTTTTCCCAATGTCCATGTACCTTAAGTTTTAAATGAATCCTTAACAGTCAACAGCCATGCTACCTTTTTCCTAGCTCGAGATATTTTGTGGGGACCGATTCCCTTACGGAATAAATTTACTATATTTATATTATTTTATTTTATAAAGACAAATATGTTGAGATAATTAATACTCTTGAGAGGTAAATAACATCGTTGTAAGTTGACATTTGAAAATACCTTGAATTAACATGGACATGACTAAAGAAAAGTTAAATACAACTGTTAGTAGCACATTAACTTATAAAAAAATGTATATACTTTTAAAGCATAATTTTTTATTTCTATATTTTAAATCAAATTGTTGCCCATGTCTAATCATTTTCTATTATAACATGAATACCACTAACAAATGGACAAATGGGGGGGACCATTTTAGCTAGGTTTACAGCCAAGTATAAATCTGAACACAAACCAAGGGGTTTAAGAACTATATGGAAGACTTTCACCTAAACCTAGGTATTTTGAAAACTATTTCAAATTCCAGAGAGGCTGACCCCTTCACAGATTGCTCTTCAGGAGTCGAAGTTTGAGATATTGACTTCAGAAGTTTCTTACCTCAAGTCGCTCAACATTCTCATCACACTGTTTGTAGAGTCATCGGAACTCAAGGACGTTCTCGACATAGAGGACAGGAGATGTCTTTTTGGAAACATTTTGGAAAGTAAGTTTTTGTAGGAAAGAAAATTTTTTGCCTTAGGAATTTATTTAAGAATAACAAATGTATACACAACTCATGCACTGTGCCCGAGAAAAATATTCCATGCATAGCACCCCATAGTTCCTAATGCAATGATTTGATTTTGCGCCCCTGAAGATAGCTTCTTCAAATTACATCGTAGAGTGATAGAATAGGGGTTTTATAGATAAAAATCTACTTTATAGCTTCCAGATGTTTGAGCTATTACAGATCATCTTCAACAAAACTCAAACTTAAAAATTAAATTGTTAGATGTTTGTCAAATATTTACTACACACACCAAATTTTGTATTGGCTTTACACTCCCTGGCATTTGCTCAGGTCTGTTGCACAACATTTTAAGTGGTTTATAGTATTGCATGATGGGGGAGGTCCACTTAAAATAAACGGCTCATATGGAAGTTGATGAGATGGGTACATTCTTTGCGAGTTGCACACTTTAATCATATCAGGCATTTTGTCAGTTTTGCTTTCTTGTAACTTAGTGAGTCTGAGTATATAGCTGGGTTGCTGAGTAGTTATAATACTCAACTAGTAATGAGAAGGTCGCTGGTTCGATCCTGAGATCAGTAGTTTTTTGCAGTTCAAATCTGGATCCAGCTGACCTTAATTGTTGATTAGGATTTTTATAAATCACCCTGACTAAGGAAACAGCTGATCTTAGAGATTAAGCTACACAGATTATCCAATACATTCTAAACTCAGCTTGTATTCATAGTCAGTTTAAAATACTACACAAGTGTGAGTGTGAGCTGATCTTATGAATTGATAATTGAGCCCACCAAAAGCTTGTTCCAAAATACAGTATTAGCCAAAATAAACAGTACTGAAATACTTTTAATACTTTTAATGGTAATACTTTTATTTTATGTATAAATTTTAACAATACATATAAGTCAAAGGAAGCAAAATCGGCTAAACACGGGTAATAACATGTTCAATATGAGCCTCGTTCAGTTTGAGGCAACACTCGTACCATTCTTGTAGGTTTTGCACCATTTTTATGAATAGGGGTTGTTCCATTCTCCTAATACACATGGTTATTTTTTCTTTGAGTTGAACGATGGTAGATGGTGGGTCCTCACGGAAGATGTTTTCTTTCAACATTCCCCACACGTAAGCATCTGGTGTTGTAAGATCGGGGGAGTGGGCTGGGTAAGGAAAGTTTGTTCTAAGGGAGATGAGACGGTTGCCAAAGGTTTGTCGGAGGAAAGCAATGTTGTTAATGGCAGTGTGACTGGTTGCGCCATCCTGCTGGAACCACTGTGAACCTAACGGCAGGTTTCGTGCACGACAAATTCTCCTGAGGTCACTCACAAAACGATCAAGAATGGCCCTATATCGATCCCTATTCACAGTAACAGTCTCTCCATTATTGCCTTCAAAAAAGTATGGTCCCACTATACCCCTCCCTGACACAGCGCACCAAATGGTTACACGTTTACTATGCTGTGGCCTCTCTACAACAATGTCAGGACGTTCAAATCCAAGAAAACGTGTTGTCTGCTTGTTTATGTAACCATTAAGGTGCACATGACATTCATCTGTAAACAGTGGCGGATCCAGAGGGGGGCGACCGCCCCCCCCCCCTCGGGCATACATATACATATATTTTTTACTGCATGTAATACAGTAGTGCATACAAAATGCGTAAAATAATTTGTCACACTAACTTTGGACAAAGAAATGGTAAAAAACTGTGATTTAGGAGACTTAGTTTACACACATTTTTCGGAGGGGTACCCCCGAACCGCCCCTGACTCCCTGGTTCGCCCCCCCCTTGTGACTGCTCTAGATCCGCCACTGTCTGTAAACCATACATCACTCAGAAAATCAGGTTCTTCATAGCATATTGCTAACATTGAAGCACAGTACTGAACTCTGGCTAGTTTGTTTATACGATCCAATGGTTGTCCAGTTTGTATCCTGTAGGGAAAACCACCAATATTTTAGAACATTCTTCTCATTGACGTATTGCTAATATTCAGTTTAAGAGAAGCTCGCATTAGACTTCTTTTCGGTGACTGTAACACTTGCTGCAACACTCTTCCGTGGTTTTAATTTGTACAGACAGTAACTGGGCGACCTGAAAAGCCCTTTCGCTGTGTCAAAACACTACCAGTTCTTCGAAATTATTCGACGACACTAAGAATCACAGCATTACTAGGCGGGTTTTTGTGGAAATGTTCCTGAAAACGTAAAGCAGTGTGTGACAAGCTTGGACCACCCGCACGTCCAATTCCGTATGAGCGAAAATAATGCTCTACGATAAAAGTTTTTTCTAAAGTTGTTAGCACCATGTTAACAAAAACTAACCTCAAATAAGAAAGAAGTAATGAACGCAAAGCCGTGGCAACAATCACCTATTGAATCAGCTGATAGAGAAGGCAACTACAGCTGATTCAGTTTCAGTACTGTTTATTTTGGCTAATACTGTAGTTTTGATTCATTTATAAGATGAGGGGGGAAATTATCATAATTTTTACTTTTGAATATAAAATTGGTCATCTATGGTTCACTGTTTTTGTAAAACAACAAATAGAAATCTTGAAGTGTGATCAATTTCCCTTAACTTTTGCCCTAAACCTTTTTTTCTCCTTTACATACATTGTAATATTACATGTCATTCATTCATCATTAACATTAACTTCTCTATTATTTTGTATATTTTCTCTCATAATGTCTGTTAATGCCCCTGATAATGTATTATCAGTTATTTAATATGTTTCTCCTTGTTAATGTGTTATTTTATCAAATTTTGTTCAATGTTATATAATATCCCATCACCCCACAGAAACATCATCCTATTTTATGTTAAAATATAATATTTATGCCAATTCTCTCCATACCTATCCTGTACTCATCAAAAACCAACAATAATCATTTACTTAGAATAATATATAATTGTAAGAAAATTGCAATATAGTAATAACATCTTTAAATATAGTATTACTTTTCAAAATTATCCAAAGAAAATCAAAATTACTGTGGCAAGTGTCATTTATGTGAATTAACCAGCTGTACATAATTTCAACAATGGACATGGACTTCCTGAGCTTCTACCATTGCCTCTCCCCAGATCCTGCCAACTCTTCACAGTGTGAACATCATTTTATTGCACATTGTGTTTGATTTAAACTAAATTCATAATCCCAAAGTATAAACTTAATCTAAATTTTAAATTTCTTATCATCTAAAAGTATTCAGTACAAGTGCCTTGAAGAGTACCAAATTTTAAGAAGACAGACACTACAAATTTGGTAACCATCATCCATCTTGTTTAACTAAGGACAAATTTAATCTTCATTGGACATTTAATCAGCATAGCCTAATAGGCCCAATTAACTTAACTCATCAAGATATACATATTTCAAATTGAACTTTTATTCAAAATTTAATCTTCAAATTCTATTTTATTTCATTAAATTCAGTGAAACCATTTGGAATCTTTCTTTGGACATTAACATTATTATATTAATAGCATCACGAACCTAGTATTTCAGAATAACTAAATTAAATTATCTACATTTTAAAGAAACCTAATATATCATTCGAACCGGCACGACCACCCCTCCCTGAGATTAAGGTCATCTATTTAAAATATTAATTAGTACTTTAGAAGAAACCAACCCAATATAAGCCTAGAATCTTTTCATCCACTTTTTAACCCCCACCATTTTGAAAATTTACCATTGTTAACTTAGACCCTATAGCTAATTCAACCAATAACTTATCTTATATTTGTATTTCATTAATAAATTTTATATTGTAACTTACCAAATCTATTTATTCTTAAAATAATTCATATAGGCCTATTATAAGATTAAGATAAAGACTTACCTCATTAGACAGAAATAAAACACAAATTAGGAATTATCTTTATTAGAAAGAAATGACTTTGAGTTCAATATGGGCTAACTTAGAAGCCAAAGGAATTTTGTAGGCCTAAGTTAATGAAAAGTCTATAGAAAGCTTTATGGTGCGTAGCAACATCAATCTACTTCAGGTTGGTTTCCAGAAACTCAATATAACCTGTTGCTGTTGACAGTTCGCAAGGCCTCCGAGATCTTCTTGTTCGACCTCGCGGGGCAGTGGGAGGAAGACTTCATGTTGCCAGATGTTTGTTCAGTCATCAACAAGCACTCAAGTGGGACTTTCAGGGTGTACATAGAGTACTGTGGGAATCAAGTGCGCTTCCACAAAACTCTGCAGAGGCTGATGTAAGTTCCTGATAATAATTTCTCCTTGGATAAATTCAAATATTATATTTCACAAAGCTTGGGTTTGCAAAGAGGGCTTGTATCATAGTTCACATTTTAAAATGATCAACTGATCCTTAAATCTGGATGTGTAATGAATAGCTGGGTAACTAATTGGTTATAGTGCTCGCCTAGTAATTGAGAGGTTGCTGATTTGATCCTGAGAGTAAACCTCATCCTGATCCTGATTTGATTTTGCCTGTAAGTAAACTCTTCATGATCTTAATTTATACAGATTATTTATTTCAAAACGAGCTAAAACAGGTAAATAATCATAATTACAGGGTGAGAAGAAACTATTACAATGTTCCCAGATTTAAAAATAAATATGGTTGCAGGTCTCTAGAAGTCCTTGTACCAAAAATGTTCAACAACTTGCCAAATTATTTTTTTAATTTGACCACTTATCGAGCTTTTAAAACTAGTCTGAAAGAAAGAATGTGGAGTGGTTTAATATAGATACTGGTCTTTCTGTCAGTGAATGTTATCTGAATGTTTAAATTATTATCTATTTATATGCTTGTTTCAGGTGTTGGCTATATTTGTTTCTGTTTTGTTAGATTTATAAATTTTATAAGATATTGTTATTTATTTGTTATAGTCTATTGTGCTGTTTCTCATTGTTTCTTAGTAATACTATTTATTTATTGTTATTTATTTATTGTTATTTTCATGAGATTTGGATTATCAGTGGTTTTTTTTGGTAATATAATTATGCATGTAACTCTCAATAGAACACGTTAGGACGCTCATAGAACTGTGTTGATTGCTGATTGAACTCAACTTTATATATTAATTAACTAAAAATGTTTTTCATAATATGTTGGTGCAGACAAGCCTCGTATGGTTTTTGCACCTATTGTATAATATGCATGTATTCATTATAGTTCAATAAATAAATTGATTGATTGATTGATTGATTGATGTTGGAGAAAAGTGTATAGCATTGATGGTTCAAATCTGAACCCTCCTATCCTTTATCGTTGGGCTCATAAATGGTCTTTGGTAATGAAACAGCTGATCTTAGTCAGTGACAAAGCTACACAGATCATCCCACTCCATACTACACTCATCCTTCACTCAAATTAGGGTTAAAATAAGCACATAAGTGGTTTCCCCATCTCAATTGATAATTACAATGACAGGGCTTACCCTTTTAAACCACTGTTGGTAACAAAGCTATGCAAGGCATCTCACTTCATATTATACCTATCCTTCAGTCTTATTTGGGGTAAACACACGCCTAGGTGGCATCCCAATCCTAAAAGATATTGATGATAATAAATGTATACCCTTTAAACTTGTTTAAAATTAGGATTTTTTCAATTTGGTCCTTACTGATGTTTTGATTAATGATGATTGGACTTTTAAGCATCTTTGAATCATGTTTCAGGCTGGACACAGAAAGGTTCCTGCCAGTTCTGACGCAGCTGGAGAGTTTGTCAGCTTGTCAAGGCTACTCACTACAATCGTTCCTCATGTTGCCAGTGCAGAGGGTAACAAGGCTGCCGTTGTTAGTTCAAGCGATCCAGCGAAGACTGACATCGGCTGCTAGCGAGTTCGCTACTTGCAGGACATCACTCACTGCTGTCAATCAGGTAGATTAAAGCATGTCAGAAACAAGCTGAAAAGTATTTTACCTACGACCGTTTTTTAAAGTAGCCATTTCAGTCCAGTTCTTAGAATTGAAAAGTTTCACTTTACAGCTGTTTACTTTCATATCCGCATAGTTTCATTTCATATCCGCATAGTTTTCTCATATCCACACAGGTAACGGACCAATGAGGTTCAAGTATTGAGAGAAAAGAATTAAAATTGTAATGCTTCGAATGTCAACTAATCAGCTGATCAGTTGACCAATTTAATTGTTGATCCGACTTGTTCATGTTGATACTCGCGTATTCTTAATTAAGTTGGTGGAAGTCCAAAAATAAATGAAATATTTGCCGAATTGTACCTGATACAATATTATTTATGGTAAGAATGCTGCTAGCAATGTAATATTTAACGAAGTTTAACAAACACGTAATTACAGGAAATCAGCTGATTATACAACAAGTCGTTGCATCACTTTCAGTGGCAATGACAATACACGAAAACATAACCTCTCTAAAAAGTTATCAGTAGTGATTGTTAGTAATTAAATCCAGATTTATAGTAATTAAAAAACGGTCGTAGGTAAAGTAGTGTACGCAACTCGCGTTAATAGTCTTTACGACACTCGTAGAAGTTTTTAAGGCACTCGCCAAGGCTCGTGCCTTAAATTTTCTTCTCGTGTCGTAAAGACTCACTTAACGCAATCGTTGCGTAAACTACTATAGCAGTGACGCCACAATAATAAATGTATTGTAAAGAGTGTCTATCACAATAATGTCTTGATAGTGTTCTGTGGTTGTAGTACTAAGATGATCATCTCTAATGGTCTTGGTTAAGTCCTGGTCATTACTTGTAGTTGCATCAAAATAATCTTTGCGTTGTATCGTTTTGTCTATTAACAAAAGGTCTAGGTGGGCCCTTAGATTAGAACCTAAGATCACCGCCCTAAACAGATCCCAAAATTGTATAAATCCAACCTATAAAACGAGTATAACAAATATCTGACTCTTTTGGTCTTTATTATTCCAGATTAAAGGTCAAACCTATACGTATTACTGTTGATCTGTGAATATACTACTATACTTGTTACCTGTTTGGTTTGATTCTGTTTCACATCCAACCGTCCCACCCAACCGTTTATAAAGTAAAAAATTAATCTACAGTGAATAAACTTTGAGAAAATGTTCAGTGTTCCATCTTTTCTCGCTACCAAACTTCTCTCTTCGGTTTGGGGGAAACACTTATTGTTTATTTTCAATGTTTCTAGATAATCCAAAAATTATAATTGTATTTTCTTACGTAAATACTCACAAATCCTGTACTCTTTCAGCTGGTTCATGAGTGCAACGAAGGAGTTCGGACCAACGAACAGGAGGAGAAAATTCTCGCATTGTCTCAGATTCTCACAAATGACACCAAAGAAACTGTGAGTGTAACTATATCTTAACCACACATTAAATATTTAATTCTTGCTGTGTAGACCAGTTTAATGTAAATTTTCTCTAGTTCATTTAGAGAACGGTTTAAAGTTTAATCTATTTATTCCTCCAACTCTAAAATTATCTAAAAGTGAAAAATCTTAACTTTTTAGTGGGGTTTGAATAAATTTAAAAAAAGATTTCTACGTTGTAGAATCTCTGTTTAATTTTTAATTGTGATGTATTTAATGAATAGTTGTTTAATATGCCCATTACTTTTTGGATGAGTTACAATACAGTTTTTGTTAGATTAATAATTATCAAACACCTTCGCAAAGCAAAGACTGTCTGTCCATCCTAAAATTTAACGCTTCTATACATGATTATTTACAAAATTCTTCACCAATGTCTACTTTTCACTAAAGAAAGCACAATAATTAATCTAAAACAAGGATAACATGGAAACTTTCAAAGCCACTGGGACAGAGCCCAAGGGGCTTTTTCAAAAATGTAAGGCCAGTTTGCAAATCTATGCGACACGCTCTTTCCAATGAGACAACAATGGATAAAATCTATTAAGAAATGGCGGAGGAGTTCAACTGACAAAGTTTCATGTACCCTATTAATTATATAGATATTTCAACTTTCACAAATCCAGGTTTTTAAAAGCTTAGAAATCTAAAAATGCCAGTGTTTTCAAACAAGAAATCTATTCATTCCAGGAAGAAAACGAGATCAACAGCTCAACACCGAAAAAACTTCAGAAAGGAACGCCAAAGAAGAAGAAGCAGTCTTCTCTTCCGTGGAAGATATTTACTCCAACAACTGCACCACCATGTGATGTTTAGTCGAGTTCCTCTATGGAATGCATCTCTGTGATATATAGATTAGTTTCGAGTGCCTAAATATGCTAAGTGCTAAATCTGAATCTCATACGGTGTTTCTGTCTATATTCTACTTACTGCTACTTATATCTCTATGTTTATATTTTATAATATGTAAAGCTCAATGTTTTGTGTAGATTTTAGTTATTGAGTAATTAGTGTGCTAAGTTGCATTTTGCTACAATCAAGAGAAACAGTCAAAAAAGTTCTTCAGGGCGGCAAAGATACTTTACACACTAGTTACTCATTATATTTTTCCTACAGTTACCATAAAACATACATTGAAGTCTTTTTAATTTCTTACTTACATACTTCATACTTGCATTAATGCTTTGGTTTGTACGTACTCATCTGGTAGTCTTAGCTAACTCTGTCAACTCATTTTGTATACTGCAAATATAAAATGTGGAAAGACTGCGCAAGTACAGCTATTTTCACTGATGAACATGAGTGCGAAACAGCTGTTTGGTAGGTAACTGTAGGAAATGATTATTAAACTCAATTGTGCATTTAATAGTGTTACTTTGATCATAAATCTGTACTGTAAACCGTTAGTTTATTAAGCATTGTTATTATTGAGTGTGCCAGGTAAAAACAGTATAGGAAATTAAAATAACAATAACTAAGTATTTTAGGTTATAATTGTATATTTTTATAACGTAAATCTATTGTAATATTTGTTCTTGTACTTATTTATGTATCCATATTCCAGGGTATTATTTTTGTATGCATTTTTGTAATGTGTCCTTTGTTTTCTTCATATTGAGTATTATTTCGGAATGTGTAAAATACTAATTTAAGACCAGTATGTCTGTTAAAGTAAAATGTATCTCATTTTGTCTGGATTTCAAATATTGTGACTTTCAATGTTCATCTTACGAGTCATTGAGCTAGAAATACAACTTGAGATAGCACTGGTGCGGCAACTCTGCTAGAAAATCAAGAAGCTGTAAAATGTTGTTATGTTGGTACCAACTAGGGGAAACAGCCAGCTTATTAGCTCACGGATTTACTACAATCCCACAATCCCCTATTCCTCTAATTCCAATGCACTGTACAATCTACTTCATCCCTTTGTGCAAATGGCGGCCAATGTCTCGCAATTTTCTCATTTATAGTGCTACCTCCATTTGTATCTCTAGCTCAGTGTTACAATACAAGCTATGCAAAATCTGTAAATCAGTTGATGAATTTTTATTATTGTTGGTAAGAAAACACTGTGGCTCATTCCATTCTTTGGAGTCAGAGACATAGCTTTTTTAGAATCTGTTGTGAGATAAACATGTGTATATAAAAGCAAATAACTTTTGTATTTGTATTTTACCTACATAGAGTGCAGTATTGTCATTGATAAGCCATATTTAACATGTAACAGAGCTTTTTAAAGATTGTTAACTAGACTTTATATCTTAGTTACAACAAAACTCATTTTTAAGATGTCATTATTGTCTATTTTCAAATATTTTGGATTTTGAATGGTTCAAGATTGTGTTGTATATATTTTTTTACTTATAACAACGTTACCAATTTGTATAAATGATTGCATGACTTTTAATAAAACTGTCTTTAAAATTGGGTTTTTATTAAATCCTGGTTACAGATGTTTTATTCTTAAAGATCAGCTGAAGAGAATTTTAAGTTATGTTAAGTGTTTATCATGAAGGTATGGCCTCTGGATCGTCTGAACGACGATCCAGTACATCGCAGGACGTCTGAATGACGGTAATGAAACACATGGTACCGTCTGGTCGACCAGTGTTAAATGTTCTGTTTTGTGTTATGTGTCGTGTTTGTGTTATTTATACAGGGTGTCCCGGAACTCTCTACCAATGTTTTAGGGCATTGCTCCTGGGTAAGAAACATAACTAAATATCATATTTAAACTGTCCGGAAGTCCTTAGTTACTCACACAGCCGCCATTTTGTTTTTTTCAGTTATTAATTTTTTTCTAAAGAACGGTTGAACATACCAAATGGAAACTTTGCACAAACATTTATGACAACTAGACAAAGCTACCAAAAAATTATCACGATTATTCAAGTTCATAAAACAAAATGGCGGTCATTCAAAATTTTTGTAAAATCAATGGTTTTTGAGTTATTTAAGAAAGAAAATTTTAAATGGCCGCCATTTTGTTTTATGAATTTGAAAAATCGTCATAATTTTTTTGTAGCTTTGTCTAATTGTCGTAAAGGTTTGTGCAAAGTTTCAATTTCGTATGTGTAACCATTCTTTAGAAAAAAATAATAACCGAAAAAAACAAAATGGCGGCTGTGTGAGTAACTAAGGACTTCCGGACAATTTAAATATGACATTTAGGTACGTTTCTTATCCAGGATCAATGTCCTAAAATATTGGTAGAGAGTTCCGGGACACCCTGTATAATATTAAACTTTTGACAAACTCCACCATGAGGAATATGTAATGACTACTTGACTTTGACATTCATCAGACCTGATGATGTGCTCCTTCCAAAGCACGAAACAGATGTAGTTATAGCATACTACAAAGTATCGTTTGGACAGAAACAAGGTAACAAAAACTACTTACGTTAAATGTTTATGTTTTCTCTCCTTAAAACGTAAGTATTTCCTAATTTTAAAATTATTATAATTTAATATAGGATTTAATTTATACATCCTTCTTCTCAGTTATTCCAATGAAAAAGTAATTAATAAAATTTACCCTTAAGAAAAGAGACAAACTTTTAGTCAAACTTGTAGTCTTGTTAGTGACTAAGGCCGACATATTCGCTTAGACGCAGCTGTTAATTAATAGCCCATACAGCTAATGGCAACTAAGAGACCCACAGTTTATAGTGGAATCTGAACCACATTTTTGCCTTGGTATTAACAAAATCGTCTAATTATCAGGAGAGTACTGCGGATAGAGATAGTACTCACTAGTGCGAACAATCCACAGTGCAAGCCTATAAATATCCACAAATCGTGACCTCCTAATAGCTGGATTACAGAAGGACACCGCCGTCCCAGTATTGCAATTTTACTTGTTTTCTCTCTATCATTGATCCTGATTGGTCCGTTACTAAAGTTTAAAAAAATGTTGTCAAGTGAATCTTTTTAAATCTAAGAACTGAACTGAAAAGGGTAGTTTATAAAGTAAATTTCCTCCCCCCAAAATCCAACCCATGTGTTTTTAAAAGAAGTCTATTCAATGACAGTTTTAACTGAGTTTAGATTTACAAACAATTTGTTCCATTATACAACTCGATCAATAGTGCCTTTTTCAAAACTTTATTTTGAAATGATTAAAATTTTATGATTGTTGTTTGATACTGTTTCAACATTTGTTTTTACAAGTGAATGTGGATGTAAATAAATGCTACAAAATCTTGGTTGTCAATGTGTGGTTATCTCAGCATGTTATTATCATTCTGATTCACTTCCTCCCATCCATCTTTGTTTATTTAAATTTAAATCAGTGCTATTAATATATATTGATTTTGGTACTATACCGTACTCTTTTCATATGTAGGTGGTTTTAGGGGAATAAATCTATCACCTTCACTATTTCCCCTACTTTTTAAACAATTAAACAACTGAGATTTGCCAAAACGTCAATCAGCTGCAAAATTAACAAACAAAAAAAGTAGTGGGGGAACTTCCCCTGAAACCGCCTAAATTTTCTGATCGGACTAAAACCAAATATTTCACCTCACTCAGTAAATTTTAAATTCAAAATTGATTTATTATGAAATCCTTAATATGAGACTAAGCCAAACTCTGTTATGATTAAAGGTTATTTAAACTTTATGATTGTACCCATTTTGTAAATCTGTTTCCTAATTTACTTAAAAATCTGGGAGCATTTTCTGCAATTTCTTAAAAAAATTAGCACGAAAATTGTTAAACCTCATCATGTGATCTTCAGAAAGCTGATGGGAGCACATTAACAGGCAGGATGGCTCATTGCTCCAAAGTCAGCATGCCAACCGACAAATTCCAAGCAATGCAATTGAAAAGACTATCCTAGAATAGATGACGTAAGGTACGTAACCTATTTTATATTGTCTTAAATCAATCCTGGAGGCAATGCTGAATAGACAAATTTTTATACATGGATTTGAACGGATGGTGGTTTTGACAACCGGGTACATCATAACAAAAGTAAACTGGTTCGGTGACTAGGTCTTATCCGAGACCTACGGTAATAGCTTATAAACTATATGGGAAATGTGCTAAAATAATCTACCACTGGCTGTGACTGAGTGATGCACGCAATGATGATTCTTATACTATTTTTGCTATGACTAAGAAAGGCTCAAGAGTTACATTGGGTGTTTAGAGGCTTGGTGGTTTGTCATGAGCAGTGTAGGCTTACTCTTCTAGTGACTACGAAGGATCCAAGTACAGTATTTGTTTGGTTTTGTCGGAGGATGCCAAAGTCAAAACGTTGAAATGCTCTTCTCAATTTTATCCTTCTTTTTGGTCAGTAATATTTATAATGATAATATTTATTTGTTAGACAAAAATCTGCTGATCAATACAATATCAAGTTTTTGCAAACTTGTTAATACAATGGAAAAGAAATCATTTGCTCCTATGGTTTTATAACAAATATTTAAAATGTTAAAAAAATTTAAGTAGGCTTTAATAATTTTTAAACTGTTTAAATATTTAATAAAACTACGGATTATTACTCCTGAGTAGATTTATTATTTTTATAGGTTAGCTGAGGAAAATTTAAAATAGTATTTTTATGTCTGGTAAAATTTGAGTCTTTTGAAAAATTTTGTGTGTTATTAATAAATGTCAAAGATGTTAAACAAGAGTGCAAAATTTAATTTTGCAGTAAGATTATATTTCTACCATAATCATTGTACAGTATCATGTTTGAAATAAGATAAATATATTCCTAGTCAACATCCTATTTTTAAACATCATACTCAGAGCTAAATAGTTATTTTCCTACAGTTACCTAACAATTAATGTACATGTTCTCTGACTGATTTGAGAAAGCAAAGGACAATGTTAACATTGTCTCACTCTAATTTCTTGGTCTCACTCCAGATTTGCAACGTGAAGGCACGAAATAGTGAACTCGTAACATGAAGACATGTCGTATGCGCGCAAAATACGTTGGCAGCCCTGGCTGTAAATCAGCTGGTCAGCTGTTGTATCATTAAATGTCATATTAAAAGTTCACTTCTGTGTAAATAGTAGTTTACGCAACGATTGCGTAAAGCTGGTGTTAACGACACGAGTAGAAAATTTAAGGTACGAGCCTTGGCGAGTGCCTTAAAAACTTCTACGAGTGTCGTCAACACTATTTACGCGAGTTGCGTACACTACTTTACTTACAACATTGTTTTAATTACTAAAAATCACTATTCATAATTTCTAAAAGAGGTTATGTTTTCGTTTATGACCTCTCATTGCCACTATAGTGATGCAACGAAACACACTAATTGCACCAATTAACAATTAAATTGGCCTGAACAGCTGATTAGTTGAATTTTGAATCATTACAATTTTACTTCTCCTCTCTCAATCCTTGAACCTCATTGGTCCGTTACCCGTGTTGTTATGAGTAAAACTATGCTGTTATGAAAGTACAATGCTGTTATGAGATACTTTTCAATTCTAAGAACTGTACTGAAACGGCTACTTTAAAAAACGGTCGTAGGTAAAATATGTTATGTTTCTTTACCAATTTATTTGCTTTATGGTAACTGTAGGAAAAACATAATGTGCAACTCAAGTACAAAGTGCAATTGCCTCACTCGAGAAACCATTCCTCACTCGCCTACGGCTCGTAAGTATTTCTCTCGAGTGAGTCAATTGCTCACTAGTTGCACAAATAACTATTGTGCAACTAGTGAGCAAAGTCTTTCCTATTCAGATAAGCCTGCTATACTCACAAAAAAACCTTAAAACTCAAGCCCTTGAGCTCTACGTTACATCCTTAACTTTTTTGTTTCAGTTTTGGAGAAAAACCCCTGCATTAGAATTTAACGACCAGTCTAGATCTACTTTTTATGCCTACCTTGATCTGACCCAGAATTATGCCAGAGATCAGAGGAGTTTCAGTTCGCAGCGAATGCTTTGGTGTGAAACTGATCGAGTCGTCAGGAGTGGTATTTTGGGTAAATTAACATTGGAATGGTTTTATTGATGTACGTTACTATAGACAGCTCTCTAGAAGGTGTAATATGTACCAAACAAATCTTATGTGTTTATAATTAAGACAACAGTTACCTACCAGCACCTCATGTGACTAGATAGCAATTAGACCTATAAAACACGTTTCAGGGAATCTCAGGCTAAAAGTGAAAATACCAACAATTCTTTTATAGTGCACAATGTGTAGAACAATATTTTAGACAGCTCAAACATAATGTATTATTACTTGATTTGTTCACCGTGTTGTAGTTTTGACACTTATTGTTGGTCAGCTGTTTGATATAAGAGTATTGCTATAGAGACATATAAAAATAACCTGAAAATTTTTTCAAGGTACTTTTACTGCTAATCTAACATTACCAAAAGCAATATCCCTGGCTGAACACTTCTTATTTTTGTGTAACATTCAAAG